TGATAAAGGCTCAGAGCAATAGAAGAAGCAAGGCTGACATCTTCTTAAGAGATGATAGGAGAGCCAAATCAAATAGGATGGAGCAGTCACTCTTTTCACAGATAGGTAGCTCATTTCTGGTGGCTGAGAGTTTGCATCCCTAGTGGCGCTCTGCCTGGGAAAGATAGCTCACTCGGACTCCATTCATTATTTTATTCCCTGCCTCCTCTTTTCACATCTTAGCTACTTTTTTTTTTGCTTTAATGAGTTGCCTATTTTTCTCAAGTGTTGATGGGGATCTTGGAATTTAGATTTGGAGACAAAATGTTTAATCACAAGCGTTTTTCATTTGTGGAGAAAAGGCAAAAATCAATTATTTCTATTAGACAATGCTGATTGGAAATGAATGGAAATGGTAGCGTTTTGAAACAAAGGCTCCATGGTGGCAAAGATAAGTGTCAGTCTGGCCCCCCTGAGGTACGATATGTGATTTGGCTTAATAAGCAGTTTGCAAACATTTGCCATTAAATACATACAAAGGGTTTACCATGCCAACACAAACACATGCAAATAATTCATGATAACAGTATTCTCAAGTCAGTAATTGTAGAACAGAAGTAAATAACGTAACATCATCAGAAAGGGCGAATGTCAAACACATATTATCATTTAAACTTGAATATCCTTTACTTTTTGCTCCATGTCATCAGTTGTAGAGGGTTTCTCTGCAATACATAACTTCCCAGTAAGTTGTAGGAACTTTTCCCACACACTGTTTACAGCCAGACTTAATCAATCAAGCAAAAGCTCCATATGATATTCAGCCTGGCACTTCCTAAAGAGCACTTTGCTATCATATCCCTCACATTCTTTGCAAATCCCTTTGAAAATTATTTATAAAAATTAACTTCTCTTGCAAAGGGCTCATTGAAAAGAAGAATTACATGAAAGATAAAACACTTTATCGCCAGTGAAAGACTAGACAATGTACGTCGAGAAATTGGGAAGATGGCAGAAACAATGAATATTAAGTGCCTAAGAATCTAAAGCTGCTGACTAAATTGAAACTGTATATCCTGAGGGGGCAAGGTTTCCAAATTGCTAATTACTGCCTCTGAAAGGGGGCTGTTTCTGATATGTTTGCTTGTGAAAGGCTGCCGCTTAATGAAGCAGTGGCTCAAGTTTTTTTTTTTTTTTTTGTAATATTCCCACTCTCTAGCTTTCAGGGCTCTCTCCGGACTTTCCTCCCAGGCCAGAACAATGGCGGGCCCAGGAGCCTAGCTTCCCCACAGGCCCCGGCAAGAGTAGGCCGGGGGCTGGGAACTGAGGGAGCTGCTCAGCATGCTGAAATATGGAGGCGAAAGATAAGGTGGCAGCAGCACAGAGAGGCCCTTTCCCATGGGCCCAAGGGGAAATTTGCAGTTATTAAGAGGAAGATGAGAGAGATTAAATGGCTTTTGTACTCATTTTCACAGACTTTTATTTTTTTTATTATTTGGGCTGCCTTCATCTGAGAGATGAAAGAAGTGGTAAATGACTTTTTTGCTTCATTCAGCAACACACTGGCTTCGAGAGACAATTCTTCATTACTGAGTGTTGTCACACATCATAAAACACTTATTAGTGTACTATTGTTTTAAAAGGTGCGGAGGTAATGGAATTACTGTAATCTACAACTAATCACAAACGTAACATGGTTTCAGATTTTGTTTGAAGAAATTAACAAAATGTTACGTACATGTAGAATTAATAAGAATATGTAAATCTTTCCTGGTTTGATTTCCATTGAAGCTCTGTTATAGAGGGTTTGACTCAATGATGTAAATGGTTAATGTACAGTATATAATGCTTTGATCCATTTACATGACATATAAATGGCAATGGAGGTACCATGCAAGGCAACGGTCTAACCTTTGTGAGCAATTTGGGTTCAGTGTGTTGCTCAAGGACACACACGTGGACAGAGGGAGCTGGGGATCGAACCGCCAACTCTGTGATTAGTTGAAGACCTGCTTCTCCAACTTTTGAGGTTTTTGTTTGTTTGTTGTTGTTTTTTTTTTGATGTGATGCATTGCATTACAGTATATTGTAATGAGTATTGCAGGTGATTCTTCCGGACACAACCATTAACTCAGCCTTTAAAAATCACAGTTGCATCAACACCTCAAGTCCACAGTCACATGTCTAAAACTGGACATGATAAGTTTTTCTGAGTTAGATTATATTTAGTGAAAAGTAGCCTATGTGTTAGGGCTTGTATCACAGTATTTTTAAGATTCTGGCAATTTCATGGTATATCATCGTTTGTTTTTTCTTTCCATGACTGGGCCTTTACATAGATTTGTGGCTTGCTTATTCTACTGCCAGGAGTACATAGAATTTTCATAATGTACTGTATATATTGAAGGATATAATGCTATAGGGTAATAGGGTATAGATACAGTGGAAGGAATCAATGTATGAACCTATTTTTATTGTGCAAACTGTAACTTAGAAAAAAATATAAAAGATATCCTAACAACTTTAAGGTTCTTTTTCAAAACAAAATATTTTCAAACAGTTGAATAAACACGATAGACTGACATAAAATACTTGTACAGAATTCACAAATTGTTGTTTGTCATGGTGTTTTGCTCTGTTTATATATTATAGAGTTATAGCAGTTATTTTAGCTATGCACCGGTATGAGCGTATGTGAAAAATGAATACCATAAGGGGAAAATAAAACTGGTATACAAGATCATCCAGTATATCGCTCAGCACTACTTTGTAGCACAATTTAGACTTTGTGTAGGGGAATAAAATGGCAACATTTAATTTTACGGGACTGTTACTGATGAAATGATGGAAAAATTAGACATAGTTATTATTATAGTTAGTTGATTTGGTGATTTTTTTAGAAGAATTTTCTTTGAAAGAATTGTCCCATTTATATCAATTATAGAGAAAATGTAATTGAGCAACAGACTATGAGAAATACAAATAAATACATGATTTAAGACTTTCTTTTGGGGGCTTTGAGTCATGACCCTAGTATTTCTACAATCCTGGCTATGGCCCTGATAGTTTAAATAAGACTACTATACATCTACGTTTAATATTATGTCTATTCCACAGGATAATCCAATATTGGGTCATTTCTGTTGGGTGTCACAGACGCATAATACAGGAGACTTCAATAAAACTTTACACCAGTCATTTTCCAGCTTGTTATAGCAGTCCTACTCAGCTCGGTGGTACAGTTAAATACGTTATCTGCAGCACGGCAGGCGCAGTTTTGGCCCCTATCCGCAGGAACATGGTGGTGTGGCGGAGGCTGCTGATTGGCTGGACAGCAGGGCGGAAGTGCGTCTGGTGTCTCAGCTGGGCTGAAAACAAAAACAAGACAAGCTGCGACTGGTGAGTGCTCAGACACAGCGGACTCTCTGCCTATTATTACATAGCATTATGATAGCCGCGTACGCTCATATGTGACACTAGACGCTGGTAAACGCGGTGTTTGGCTGACGGTGAACAGAGGAGACGTGTGGCCGTTCAGACTGTCCTTGTGCTCAGCTCACATGTGAGGTGTTGTTATGTAACAGCATGCAGACAGCTCAGCTCAGCCTCTGCTTTTGTTCAGGCGCACTGATGCTGCACAGCTTCCCAGTCGCTTTACAGCCGGTGATGGAGATGCTGTTGACTGTTTTGTAGCTGCTGCTGGTGCGCAAACGCTCAGACCAGCTGTGCCTTGAATGGTGTGTTACTTAATGACGCTATTGCGGATCAGTCTTGGCATTTCTGGGTCCAGAGAGTACAACCACAGATGATAGCAGGAAGCTCCCACATCAACAACAGTGATTAGATTAGATTGTCAGTAGCTAGAGCTTCCTGTTAGATGTGCCGTGTTGTGTCAGTGCTCAGCAATTACACAGAGAGAAGTTCACCTTGGAAGATTCAGAGATTTTCCATTGGCAATAACCACATTAGAACATGATACAAAGCAGATGTGTTTATTATTTTTAGGAAAATCACAGTCAAAACAGTTTATGATTAAAATAACCAGACATGACTATGTGTTTTTGGCTAATCTATCATATTACTCTGCAGTGTGTGACATTTAGGGGGCTCTATTGGCAGAAATGCAATAATAAGAATAATATTTATAGAATGAGATATTTCGCCTTCAGTGGAATCCGCCATGTTGAACCGCCATGTTTCTACAGTAGCCCAGAACAGACAAATCAGACACTGGTTGTAGAAAAGGCCACTTCACAG